AAGGAAGATCAACTATATGTTAATTAAATTATAAATATATCAATTCATGTGATTATGGCTGAAACATTTCATTTTTTCTGAAAAGGTGGTGTCTATTTACTTGTGACCACGCTGTGTATACAGGGGCGCAGAAGAACGATGTGTTTAACATTATCAATCTTATTGTGATGCAATGTAAGACGAAAAACCAATCTACAAATATAAATAATGTATTCGAAGCGGTCTAATTCCCAAACAAAGTTGCTGAGCTAGTTTGGTGGAAAAGAAACGAAAGTTATTATAAATAAAACTTTTACTGTATCTCGGTAAACATACGTACATGTTTAAGCACTTATCTTCATGTATGAGTCAACTAACATAAATTCATATGTTTTTAATGGCTCTTGAAAGAAGAACAAGTCATCCTGAACCAAAGTTTATCATATCAAACGCTTATACATGTGTATTCACTGTGTAGTTCACTTAAACCCCTCTTCCGTATAAAAAGATGTCATTTCCGGTTCATGCTCGTGTACGGGAAGTAATACATAGTCTGCGGCAAGTCCAGCTCCCATTGGCTGGCGTGCAACTCCACAAGTTCTAAGATAGTTTTTCGAACCCGAGCGAAAACGGACGGACTGATAAAGGCATCGCGCATTAAAGCAATCAACTGATACATTCGCTGTGGAGAGTCGATTTCCAACTGACGGCCAACAGAGGTCAGCACAGAACGAATACACTCGATCTGTTGAAACAATGGGAAGAAATATTAAAGATTAGTACATAATTTAAACTAGTTATGTTGCTTAGACGTTAGTAGCTTAACAATACTACTATTTCATGAGATATAAACATTTAAAGTTCTGGACAAACCAGTAATAAGATTTAAACATCTACTACCAATAAAAACACTCTCATTATACTATTATAAACACTTAAGTTTTATTAACTCAGCTTTTTCTCAGCATAATTAGAAAACTTATTTTGGAAATAAACGAAAATGAGCTGGGTTGGAAACGAATCATATTTATTTCAAAATTTACGTTTTGGTGGTTAATCTTCATTTAACTTTTGGGATGTAATGAGTTACTGAAATAATTTCTTTTCAATAAGAAGACATATATGAAAATAAAGCGTCTTCGGTACTTAGAGCGCCCCCTACCTCAGCCAAACAGTTTAAAGATGGCGGTTTCAAAATGATTTCACAACACTCGAAAATCAACATCATCAAAGGTAGGGACCTATCTTCTATAGCAGGTGTGGGAGTCGAAGAACTTCCATTATCTCCAACTTGGAATGGCATGGTTTGGATAACGTTACGATGAAGGCTTTTAAAACGTAGAAAAAGTTCAGTCAGGAAAAAAATGTAGGCTGTCCACCTTCTGGGTGTTTCTCCCGTGCCATCTGGCCCCGAGTGACATGACGTCAGAGAAGAGCGTAATAACTTGTCCCGTTCATTGTACCATTCCCGGCACGAGTTCAGAAGGCTTTCCAGAAACGTTTCACTCTTGTCTTTCTGGACAAATATTGAAGGAAAAACTGTTTGGATGGAAACGAGAGCACGACTTCCTTTTACAGATTTATTAAAAGACTCGTGATCAAAGTTTTAAAACATAACATACTCAACAAAATATAGTACTTAAAAACTTTAAATGTAATGTTTAATTAAATTAATGCCAATGAGAAAAGAGGGGGGAGGAATTCACGCCCAAGCATGATTGACAAACATCCTTGTTCGAACCACTTCTTGTAACGAAGTGGTTCTCTTATAAAGATCTATTTTAAGTAGAGTAAACGGGACCACCTAACTGAAGCTTCAACTTTTGAGCAACATTGTCAGCATAATAAAAATTTTAATTTATTAGTATCGTAGTTATGCCACTACTCAAGTTGCTAATTAATACAGGTAATAAATAGCAATGTATTTGGATAATCCATACTAACTTCAACTGAGGAAAAGTCTAACGTAATCCGTAAAATTAAAATGCTGTTAAAAACTTGATAGATATATCATCTCTGAAAGCCCCCTACTGGACACTTTTCCGGAAACACCAGAAACACATAAATCAGAGACAACAAATCTATGTACAGAATATAACAACATGTAATTTGTATTAGAAATATTTTTAGAATTATGTATGTCAGAAATTGGAGGCAGCAGAAAATATTTAAATGTTCGGAAATTATTAACAAGGAATGAAAGATATTTTAACTTTTAAAGTACTGTTTACTTAGCTGTTAAACTCATGACATTTGGAGACACGTTTCTACATAAAAATTAAACTAATTTCAACATTACTTTCATTGTCACATAACAATGGGTGATTTTATATTCAGTGAAACATGTTCAAGGCCTACTAATTTCTAATTCGTATTCTAGCAAGTTAGAAAATATATTAACTTTATCAAACTTCTTTTATTTTCTCAATACAATGTTAGTTGAACGTCAAAAAAAAAATAAAGATAGAAGATTAAAAACTAATGATACAGAAACATTTAAAATATTTTGAAAATTCGTGATTTTATTTATTAACAACAACAACAGCAATTCTGAGCTGAAAACTGTTTTGTATACAGATAACCAACCACACTTGGAGGTTGATACAGCTCATTGCTAGGCCTAAACCTGGCCGAGAGGACAGTTTTGTGAGTATACCATATACTTTAAACATTGTACAATAAGTTTCATAACTTCAGTAAGTTTTCTCTAAAATCATTTTATTTTTACATTTTCTATGTACCATTTACTTTTTATTTATGCATTTATTTATTTACTTGAATATTTTCTAAAACCTTATCAAGGAATAAATCTTGATTGTCACAGTGTTAAAATGAGCTACCACTACTACTTCATTGACTAAACTAAAAAAAACTAGTATCTAACTAAAATGTGGTTAAATTAACAACCGCCATTATTAGGGTAAGCTTGTGAAGATGACACGAAATACATCGAAAACATCGCCACCTACCAGAATAATTGTGAAACACATTTGAGCAGCAGGTTCTGCATTTTGAACACTTTGAACAGCTTTGTTACACAGGACACGAACGACCTCCATTAGCTGACGGGAAGAAAGGGAATTTGGGTCTAGAGTATAGAATGGAAATTCTAGTTAAAAAAATGAAATACCTTTCGTAAAGCTCTGGAGAAGATAATATTTCAATACTTAAAGTTAGAAAATATACAACCTGGGCTTTATCCCCATTCTCAGTCGAAGAAGAGAACTTCAGAACACGACTAAGTTCTTTTTTAATAGACTTAGACGTATTATCTTCAGGGACAATATAATTATATTCCAATGTCTTATTTCCCACCAGATGGCGGCATATAATAACTTCATTTTTATATTGGTAAGTACCTATAACCCTAGCGCTTTTGAAAGATGGACCTTTCTTCATCAGGGTCAAACTGAGGGATTCCCAGTTTGACTCTGATGAAGAAAGATTTCTCATTTGTAAGAGCTCGGGTTTGTATTTTCAACTTTGAATTTCTTGAACCTAATTGTTTTATTAACATCGTGTCTTGTATATATTAGTACGTTTGTAATCACGTTCATAATTTGGTTTTTGTCAGCTTGTTACAAATATGTCAGTAAACGCTCTTTGGAAAAAAAATATAATGGTAAACGTTCCTTTTGCACGTTCTCTCATTAGTCATCAATCCTCGAAATTAGGTCATGAAGTCGACGGCAAAATAAAAATTAATGCAACTTTAAGTGTAAAGACAACACCAGAACAAATGAAATTCTTCCAGTTAAACAGGAAACGTCCACAAACAATGGAAAACTTGCATCAGGTTTTTTTTTTTATATTGATTAAATATTTTGGGGTAAACCATAAACTTACGGATAGCTTTTCAAGTTAAACATTGTCACATTCTGCACATATGACATTCAACTTCCACAGAAAGTCAAATCAAACGATACTCATAATGTAGGAATTGATTATTTAATGCCAGAAAATACAATAAACTTTTAACAACTTTGTTTACAAACATTAATATCTTTATTCTTCAAATCGCGTAAAAATTTTACTTTTCTGTTTGCTCTGCACTCTAGTGGTGGGTACAACAGATAGCCCAATGTGGCTTTGCTCTAAAAAACAAACAAATAAATGAGCTCCTCCCCCCCCCCCAGTGCCACAGCGGTATGCCTGCGGACTTACAACGCTAGAAACCGGGTTTCGATACCCGTGGTGGGCAGAGCACAGATAGCCCGTTGTGTAGTTTTTGCTTAACTTCAAACAAACTGTTTGCTCTGTACCAAGAAGTATCTAAGTGTGTCAAACTATTGTAAATTTAACGTAATAAACTATATTGTCCCCTCCAATACTAATATACAACATAAAACTACACGTGGTTGGATGAAGTACATGTTAGTTCTGATTTTGAATCACGTGAGGTTAAAACAAATGTTTTATTAGTTAACCTAATACATTATAAAAGATACTGAACAGGAAATTATCAACATTTCCAGAAATGCGAAATATTAAAATACCCACTGGAACTTGGGAGTGGAAATCAGACTTGTAATATTTGTTTGTTCTTCTTTTCTTGGCCTTTCCTCGAGCATTGTACAAGTACGTGGCTAAATCATGAAAATAGACCAACAGGAGTGTTTGAAATAAATGCCAAGAGAGAGAGAGCTTATATGTGTCACATATTAACCTATTTTTGTTTTTCTTCTTACGATATCCTTTTTTTATTTTGCCGTCGTACTTGCCGTAGCTAATCTCGAGGACTGAGTCATTCAAATTATTTATTAATGAAAGATATCTGAAGCATGACAGCTTTATAAGTAAGTTCTTTGTTACTTGCGTACAGAGGCACGTTATGCTAACACAACATTAAGTTTACAAACAACGATTTATAGACATAATCTTCTGTCTTCTTCAGATACTTGAAGAAGGGACCAACGGTAACTTTATGGACTTACAACACTAAAATCAATAGTTCGATTCCCCGAATGGACAGAGCACGGACAGCCTGTTGTGCAGCCATGGCCAGGTGGTTAGGGTGCTGGACTCGCAATCTCAGGGTCGCGGATTCCAATCCTCGTCCCACCAAACATGCTCACCCTTTCAGCCGTGGGAGCGTTATAACGTAACGGTCACTATTCGTTGGTAAAAAGTAGCTCAAGAGTTGGCGGTGGGTAATGATAACTAGCTGCCTTCCCGCTAGTATTTCACTGCTAAATTTCGGACGGCTAGCGCAGATAGCCCTTGTGTAGCTTTGTCCGAAATTCATTACAAACCAAACCTGTTGTGTAGTTCTATGCTAAAGCAAACAAACGAACGTTCTGTTGAAACATGTTGTATGTTCTCTACATAAAATAATTTTTATTATGTTTATAAACCGTTGTTTGTCAATTTACTACGAAATATTTGTTGTTGATTCAACTTTTACATCTAAAATGGGTTTATTTTCTTATAAATAAATGGTTAGCAACATTTAAAGTTAATCTATACATATTAGTAGAATTATAGCTCGTCACCTTGCAAAGCCTTTTTAACTAGTCCCTGATATTCAATAGGGCAATCATTGCGATCAAATCCTGCAGTAGCCATTTCTATTACTTCAGACCCTCCGAAACTCTTCGACCGCTTGAGGGCGCTAAACCGGTGAGTCGAGGTCTTATTTTCGCTGGATTGAAAATGGACTTTGAGAGCTCCGCTGTTGGTTTTCTGGGGAACTGGCTCCAGGAGAGTATTCATGTTATTCGTGTTATTTTGCACGACGCGACCACTATTTCCTGATATCTGTTTCGTGAAGCCCGTTACGTCATCAGGTATCCGAATACCTATTGGTCAATAAAAAAATGTTAATGAAAACAATGATTCGTATAAAACAATAATAAAAAAAGACTTTAAACGTTTTAAAGAAGAACCAGAAATAGTATCTTCTATAGATATACGTACTCTACGTTTATACACACAGTTAATGATAGCTCAGAATACAGTTATTATCAGGCTTCTTTTAGTCTCGCAATATAGTGTTAGTTGAATTTAAAGAAAAACAACACAAGTAAGATAGAAGATCAAAAACATTTTAAACATTTTAAAAATCTTATATATCGTTACTTCGTGATTTTCTTTATTAGAAACAAGAACATCAATTCTGAGCTTAAAACTGTTTTATATTCAGATAACCAACCATACTTGGAGGTTGATACAGCTCTAGGGTAGGCCTAAACCTGGACGAGGGCGCAGTTTTGTGAGTTTGCTTCTCATTCATTGGATGTTGGGTGCCGTGTTCTTTGGTCTGTTGTAGAGGAGTATAAAAAGAAGAAAATAAGCAACTCGTCAGTGTTATTATACGAACTTTGAAATCTCTCTTTCACAAGAGGGAATAACATTTTATTTTTTGTGGAAAATCACACTACGATCACTGTAATTATGAATGTTATTTGAAAAATATTATATATCAGCTATACAAATTCTAGTAACTTTTAAAATTATAACACGTTAGCTGTGGAAACTACTGCATAAGTCACCATAACAACTTTTAAAAAGTAATTTCTGACGTTTTTAAGTAAATGTTTACTTGTATACAAACCAGGTTTAATGAAAAACATTCATAACTGAAGTGCGGAAGATAAAAGTTTGTTTGTTTGAAGTTAAACTCAAAGCTACACCGTGGGCTATCTGTGCTCTGCCCACCACGGGTATCGACACCCGGTTTCTAGCGTTGTAAGTCCGCAGACATACCGCTGTGCCACTGGGGGGCTAAGATGAAAGTATACATTGTTTGTATTTCAATATTTATTTGCTTCTTGCTCCCAGTAACCAGATATTTTAAATGTCACTGTCCACAAATTCTTGCAAACTTTTAACTCACTTCTAATGCTAATAATATCAAAAAGCGGGAATCAAAATGTGTAAGTTTTTTCTACAATACAGAACATATATTTTACAGAACATATATTTTACAGAACATATTTTCTCCAAATATCGTTTCGTGTCGTTATGTTATACAAACAAAAGTACCCGTGCCAGGCGAGGCATTTATTTCCTTGGCTCATATGGATGGTTCCCCAGCAGTAACATTTCGGAATTAGAACGCTAAAATCCGGAGTTTTGTTCCTCGCGGAAGACAGAGCAGGTAGCCTAATGTGGCTCTGCTCTAAAACAAACGAATAAACTAGTGTATAGCAGTACGAAGCGCGTCATTCTCCAGCACTAGAGCCCGGCATGGCCAGATGGTTAAGGCACTCGACTCGCAATCTGAGGGTCGCGGGTTCGAATCCCTGTCACACCAAACATGCTCGCCCTTTCAGCCGTTGGGGCGTTATAATGCGACGGTCAATCCCACTATTACG